CACAGGGTCCACCGTGCCACTGGGGCAGGGCGGTTGCGCTGCTGCGGTGCTGTGCCCAAGGGCTGGGTGAGAAAGGAAAGAGCTGAGGGGAAATGTAGCCCCACTCTTGTGGGTGCTGCTTAATGGGCAATGGGAGCAGCGATCACATTGCTGCGCAGCCCTACCTTCTCATCTCCTGCGTCTGGCCGCATGGCCCTACCCAGACCCCAGGACCGCTGTGTTCAGCTGCCCCAAAATGTAGCACAGCGCGGCCACGCAGCGAGAGCGATCCCTTCTGATGGGATGTCCCACTGCCTGTTCACAGCTTAATGCAGAGGAAGTACTCTGAGCCCAATGCCTATATCGACAACCTGCCAAAGGGCAGGATGGAGGAGGAGGAGCTGTACGATGACGTGGATCTGCCAGACCTGCCTGCGGTAAGGTGCCTGGTGCTGCAGGCAGCTGCCCCACTGCAGGGAGCTCTGCAGAAACCATGGGCAAACATCTGGCCGGGGGGCTCTCCAGCAGGGAAGGGGGATTACCAACCCCTGGGGAAATCCAGGCTTTTGCAATGGGGCAGAAGTGGGTGCTGGAGAGGAGTCACTAAGGAATGGGAGAGAGGGTTCCAGCAAGGTGCTGTAGGGATCCTCAGGCAGCTGGGATACAATCCCACAGTTTCCATCACCATGGATTATGTGGTGATAGTGGATTGTTTGGACCCTGGTCTATCAAAACTCCTTTTGATGGTTGTTAGAGCAAGTCCTGTGTGTAAGGACAAGAAAGATGGGCCATGCTGGGGATGGGCCTTGCTGGGGATGGGACTGTTACCCTGGGAAAGGCAAAGAATCTGGCAGGGGTTGCCAGATTCACAACAGTGTGAGATCCTTGTATGGGGCTGCTGCTACCATTGGAAAGACCTACTGAAGGAGAGCAGGAGGAGCCTTTCCTTCAGTACACCAAAAAGCCCTGTATGGAATGACTGGAGAATGGGTTTTTAGTTCCTCTAAGGTTTATGGAAAATGCTCCAGATTGCCTGAGGTGCTGCTGCTCTGCAGTGAGGTGTTTCCTGCACTTCTGGCTGCAGCAGATGGTCCCTTTTCAGGGGAACATTCTCCTTTTGCAGGAAGAAGTACCCAAGACTGAGAGCAAATTGGAAGGAGACCAAGACAGAGTGTACCTGGATCTCACCCCAGTGAAGTCCTTCCTACACTGTGCTGGCAAGAAGGCATGCCAGCCTTCACCCCTCAGCTCACCATCTTTAGAAAGGGCTTCCAACAAGGCTGCAGCAGAGAGCACAGCCGAGACAGCCCTCGTGCCTAAGGAAGCCGAGCCCTGTAGTAAGGCGACGGAGACCTCGGAGCAGGTACTGTCCTGAACTATGGTGCGGGGGACAGGCTTAATCAGTGAGCCAGTTCCCCCCACCGCATCATCCCACTTTGTTTCCCCCCCCAGAAACACCCAGAGAAGCCGGAGCCCGACGAGGCACCACCACAGATGCCTGCCATCAAAATCCAGACGCAGCAGCAGAACATCGCCTTCCCCCAGCCGGCCCCTGAGCTGCCGGCGGTCACAGTGACGGTGGGCAGTCCCCAGCTTGTGCCCGCACACCGGCCCAAGCTACCGCTGCCGGGTGAGTGGGCTGTGCAGGTGGGGGCCCACTGCTGCAGCGGCTCAAGGAGAGGTGGTGCCTCTCCCAGGCGTGAGTTTTATGGCCTCAAGCTGCGTCAGCAGAGGTTTAGATTGGCTATTGGGAAAAATTTCTTCACAGAAAGGGTAGTCAAGCATTGGAACAGGCTGCCCAGAGAGGTGGTGGAGTCACCATCCCTGGAAGCGTTCAAAAAAACAGGTAGACATGGCACTTTGGGACATGGTTTAGCGGGCATGGTGGTGTTGGGTTGATGGTTGGACTGATGATCTTAAAGATCCTTTCCAATCTTAATGATTCCTAGTTTTTACTTTCATTAAAAATCATCCAGCCACCAAGCCAGGAAACATGAAATTGCTACTCTACCCTTAATTGGTTTAGTGGTGGACTTGGTAGTGTGTTAGGTTAATGGTTGCACTGGATGATCTTAAAGGTCTTTTCCAACCTAAACGATTCTATGATTCTATGATTTTGCCCTGCTCTATGGTAACTTTGTGGTGCCCGAGGGGCCTGATGCAGCTCCTGGTTGGTGACCCTCCTAAGCCTCATCTGGTTTGTTTCCAAGCTCCTGAAAACATTTTCCCTCCCACTTTTTCATTGGCTGAGCTTGTTTTGGTGGGTTGTGTTTCCAGCAGCAGCAGTGGAAACCAAGCTGGGCAAGAACAGGACAGAGGCGGAGGTGAAGCGGTTTACAGAGCAGAAGGAGCAGCTGGAGAAGGAGAAGGATGAAATCCGGGCTCAGCTCACCCAGCTGCGCAAGGAGAGGCGGGAGCTGAAGGAAATGCTTGCAGGCAGCACAGGTAGAGCGGGGCAAGAAGTGATGCATGGAAATGAGCCAAGGTGGGACCACAGGGAAGGAGAGGGTGATGAACCTAGCCCACGTAGGACCAGAAGGGGCTTTGCACCTCCAGCAGTGGGGAGACCTGTCGCTCTGAGACAAACCATGTAGCCCAAATCATACTAGAGCAAGAGCTCACTCTGTCACAGTCCAGTGGGGCAAGACATAAAGAAAATGTACAGGAGTAATACATGCTCCAGTCCCTCCTCCCCTCATGAGCTCCCCAAGTCCCCTGCAGCCCCCCAGAGCTGCGTGCCAAGGAGGTGCCGTGCAGAGCTCCCACGGGTGCCTCGTGTCCACCCAAGCTCTGCACTGGCCACCCAGGAACCGGCCCACACCAAACAATCCCTCCCTTCACAGACAAGGTCCTGGAGCAGAGGCTGAAGGAGATAGAAGAAGAGTGCAAAAGGAAGGAGAGCCAGAGGGTGGACCTGGAGCTGAGCCTGGTGGAGGTGAAGGAGAACCTGAAGAAGGCAGAGTCTGGCCCTGTGACGCTGGGCACTACCGTGGACACCACGCACCTGGAGAACGCAGCCCCCCGGGTATGTGGGGGGCACCCCTGGGATGCACAGAGGCTTCCTGGCAGGCGGGTGGTTGCACTGTCTCAGCCTGCTTAATAATGTAATATAATATAATAATTA